TGGGGTCTTGGAGTTTGGCCTGCTGGTCAAACACAATGTCAGTGCTTCCTCCCTTTTGCACTCTGAGCCTTTGCGGCGCCATGCCCTGAGCTTCAATGCCAAAGCTGACTGCTGCATGAACTGACGTTTTCCAGACTCTGACCCTCACCGGCCTCGAACGGAGATTGAAATGCACCAGCTTGGAATTTCTGGCCCTGCCCTTTAACAGCCGCTTCTGCTGAGTGCCAATGCGGCGGCGGCGTCCCCCGCTCGAATCCAGTCCCAAATCCTTCAGGAGGTCGTGTGCGCGGGGTTGGTTCTCTTGCCTGTTGAGGTTGATGATCCTCTTGCACTCATTCGTTGAAGTCAGGAATCCTGTCTTGTGCACTGACAGGTTGAGACCCGCTGCCTGCAGTCCAGTCTTCAGCTCCTCGTACCCTGCCAGGGCTTCTTTGCATACCAGTGTGGCGTCCTGACCATCGAAGTCCACTGATATGTCGTCTATCCAGACGTCCACCGAGGCCCTCGGGTGTGCCTTGGTGAAGTCTGCCAACACTGGAGCCAGGACCAATTTGGCTACCAGTGGTGCCATTGGGCAGCCTGCAGGATGCCTTTTCTGCAGTGGACGGCATTGCTGGTTACCTGCTCAGCTTGAAGGAGGCGAGGTCCACTGTACAGTTCGTACAGAAAGTTCATATGAACTGCTGGGAAGTCCAATGGTTCCCACAGCTGAAGCAGTTGTTCCAGTGCAACCGAATCGTAAAAGCACTGCAGATCTATGAGGAGGCTGACCACATGCCTGTCAACTGCTCTGCTGACCTCACTTTTGAGCAGTCGCATCAGGGCTACATGCAACACCTGTGTGCCTGGCAGGCTTCTTTCCCATGGAAGGCGCTGTCCAATGTTGCTCTGCCAGTGTTTCAACTTGTGCCAACGAAGTTTGCACCAAGTCCTGTAGAGCACACTTGTCAACGAGATTGGCCTCTCAATGTCCTGCCTCTTTGGTAGCAGCAGTACCAGCCTGGTGCAAACTTGCTCGGGCAAACGGCCAGTGAGTTCCCAGTTGCGGAACATGTTGCATAGGTCTGTCACCCCTTCAATGGGCAAGTTCTTGAGCAATGCATAGCTGATCCCATCCGGGCCACAAGCCTTCTGAGGTAGCTTCTGCAGTCTCTTCATCACACTATGCGGGTCCAGATCCTCCCATCTCCTGGCCTGCTGAATGGCCTCCCATCGAAGTCGTTCCCTCTCTCCACTGCTGAGGGGCTGTTCAATGACTTATCATTGGCCAAACCATTGCTTCTCCCTGTGGCTTTGCCTGTTTTGGACTGGGATGTTCCTGAACGGCCTGACATGTACTGCATCTGGGGCTTTGAGACTCCTGTAAATGCCACTGTGACCCTTCAGAGCAGCTTGGGCTAACCAGACTTGATACTCCTTTGCTTGCAACTCAAGGGCCAGCTTTTTGGCATAGTCCCTGTTAGCTTCTGCTCCCTTGATCAGCAATGTAAGCGGCCTGCTGTCGCCCGTCACAAGGTCCTCAAGCGCTGCAACAAAATCCTGCTTCCCATGCACATCCTGCCAGCGTTTGTCCAGGTCTTCCGCTTTGGCTCGGAGGTGCAGACGGGTGGTGGAGGTCAGCGTCCCTCTGCTACCCACTTATGCCAGAATGGAGCAAAATTGCCCCCAGTACGCCAGGTCTCCCTTCTTCCATGGTGACAGCGCCTTTGTTTGAGCTCCAAAGCCAAGTACCACCCTCGTCCCTGCTTGGGCTGATGCAGATTTTGAAGTGCATATTGTTCAGCTTGGTGGCACCACTCAGCACACCGCAACTCTTTGGGACCCCCAACCAAAATACCTTTGGATTTGGCTTGAAATCATACCACGCTCTGGCCGCATCCTCAAGCTTGGGCACTGGCGCAAAGTGCGTCAACTGAGGCAGGATCAGTCTGGGGGCCGCTTTGTTGACTGTGAGCACCAACCCAGCATGAGGTTTCCAAGGTACCTCCCAATGGACTTTGATTTCCAGAAAAGGAGCAACCTTGCAGCTCGCCAAGGCATAGTCAATTTCTGCTCCATGCAACGTGGTGGCATGTCCACTCCACACTACCTCGGCGTTGAGGACATTCAGCAATTGGTGTCCTTCCCGTTGCTCTGGCGGCGCCTGAAAATCTCCCACAACAATCCAGGGCACTGCAAGCTCTCGCAGGAAAGCGGCAAGGGCTCCCAGGATGGTGGAGTTTGCTCGAGAGGTCAGATCCTCTCCGCACTTGAGGTAAATGGACACCAGTACAAGCTCCCAATGCTGCCTCTGAAGCACATTTGCCAGGAAGCCGTTGCCTTCATGATCAAATTGATGCAGTCGATAAGCTGACTGACCTTCTCTGCAGCTGAAAAGGTGTCCCCCACTTGTGCCCCCTCGGCCTGTTTCATAAGCCTCCAGGAACTCAGATTGCCATCTGCTCCTGCATAGTGCCGCCTGGGTCTGTTCCATCTTGTTGCCCTGCAGGTGGGTTTCAACCAGCATGACCAGTTGGAAATCTTGTTGGATCATCCACTCTTTCGACTGCTGGTTCCACTGGGTGATGTTGCCAAAGAACACCTCAATGCTCTCTCCAGTCAGCCGGGGCCGTTTCTTGGGCGGTTCAAAACTGCCAATCGTCCTGGTCCAGAAAGTGGAGTGCTCCGCCCTGGATGCCCAAATCATGACGTCTGGAAGATGTCCGGGATGGACGTCTGAGCCTGCGGGTATTGACCATCATCCACAGTCCACAGAGCATCTCCTTCCACCAGCATGGTGACATAGTGCCCAGACAGTGGGTCTTCTTTGATGAGCAATGACTCCTCTGAGGACAAAGGTGCCCTTCCCTCCATCACCCGTGGCCGTTCTCTGGGCACATTGGGAAGTCGACGGGATCTGGAGTTTGTTGTTGTGTTTGACCCACGATTTTGCCTTGGCGCACAGGTGGTACCGCCCAATGTGGAAGACGATGTGGTTGACGTTTTCCCCAAGGCATTGGCCATTGGCTTCATTGGCCCAATCAGCCAGCAGCTGCTCTAAGCTAACTCCATCCCCTGCTTCTACCGGCATCCTCACAAAGAGTTGCATAGTGTCGAAATCATGCCACCTCCCTCCAAAGTAGGAATGCCAATCCCCTTGCAAGCCTGTCTGCCCCCATAGTTCCCACAACAACACCAGGAACTCTGATGCATCATGCTGTGCCTGGGGGTTTTCCAACTTGGCAATGACTGGCTGCAGCTCTGAAGCCCAGAAAATATCAGGGATATCGTCTTGCTGCAGGATTTGGAGGCATAGATTTGTCGAAGGTCCCCAGAACTTAGCAGGCTTCTCATGATGTGCCCCCATCCAACACCATAGCCTGAGGACCGAGTTTGCAAAACATCTGTTGCCCTTGTTGCGAGGTCAAATTTGCTGCCAAAAGCTCATGTGGCTGCGGCATGTCAATCCACTGATTGACTGGTCTAGTGAGTTGAATGCTCCCTTGAAGAGCCAGCCGCATTCGTAGGATGTGTTTGAGGGCGTCCAATCCCCATACTCTGGCTTCAACCATCCCATATAGTCCGGATCCTCTCTGCACTGTGCCGGCAAGGCTTGTATAGCTTCAAGAGCCTTGGCCGGGAGGACTAAAAGTCTATCCTGCAGGAGGCCAGGTGTAGTGAGCTCCGCTTGTCTTTCATCATCCTCCAAGATGTAGTAATCATCGTCCTGCTTGCCTCCACCCAAGAAGGGCTGGTCCCGGTGGTCTGTCAACCAAGACGGTCCTGTCCTTTCGTGGTCGGTCTCGTCTCCGGGTGGATCTGTTCCATGCCTTCCCCCATGCGCTCTGCGGCCACGGAGTTTGACGTTTGACACTGCCACCTGGATTCTGTCACTCTATCACTCGAAATCCACGAAGCCGAGCATCCCGTACAGAGCAGGTAGGTCCTTGGCTTTCTGGGCCTTTGAAGTTCCCAGTTTTCCCACATAGGTGTCACCATCTTCAACGACTTGGACAAAGAGCAACTGGATCTCTATTACGGGCAAAGTCAAGGCTACCGTGCTCGAAGTCCTGGTTGAAGAGACGCCCTTCACCTTTGGGTCCGCGTTGGGCCTATCGTAGCGCCAAGAAGGCGCAACCCAGCTTGAGCCCAAAACTTGAGCCACGTGCGCCGTCTCTCTCTCTCTCTCTTTCCCTTTCGCTGTCCTAGGTGGAGGGTGGGGTGGACAAGACACCGCGAAAGAGAACTGCTTGTGAGGATCGTGCATGTCGAACCCGAAAGTGAGGAGTACTGAGGTAAAGTGCGTGCTCTGACACCAAAGTGTGGAATTGATAGCCAAAGTGTGAGACTGTTGTTGGAAATGGGCATTTTGAATGTCAAAATGTGAAACTGAAGCTGTCGTCAAACTGGCGGCAGTGCATGGAGTGGTTTCTGGGAAGTTCGGGCTCAGAGCTGGTGGTTTGGTGGCGCAAAAGGCATTTAGTCTGAACAGTGTGGAGCCTGGTGGATGTGGAATGCACATGTAGCGCTTCGCCGTGCATGCGGTTTCGCTGTTTGCAGAGATGCGCGTAAAAATGCGAGTGCATGGGGCATGTGGGACACGTGAGTGAACCGGAGTACTTTGGCAAAATTTGCATGAATCCAGATGGCGTTTGTTTTTTTGCACTTGGTGCTCGGCTGATGAAGGGGTGCGCGCAGCGTGAAGTAGAGGGAGAAAGCGAGCGGACATTTTGGTCCAACTTGACGCAAGAGCACCGAGTGCTGTTTGACTTCTTTCACGCCCATGGAGCCTTTACCGCCACCACTTCAGTGGACACCTGTCCTCTCACAACTTTTCATTAAAGCGCCCTCGAAACGCAACACACATTCTCACTTCCTTGTGTAGTTTATTGTAGTTTCTTTCGTTCTCGGGCCGTTTGTCGTCCTGTTTGTGGGTTTTTGCGCAAGTTCCAAGTAGCGCCCCTAGATTGGAGGAACGGTGTGTTGAAGGGAAGGCGTGAAAGTGGTTCGCACGTGCTGAGGCGCCTATGTTGCCGGTCCTTCAGTCGCCCCACAACACCTCTTTCTACACCAAGTCCACCCAACCTGGCGACTCGTTGCGCGAGAGCTCTTATAGTAGCAAGATCTGGTTCCCGCTGGGTGGTGCATGGAGGGAGCAAGAGAGGGGCTTAGACGGGGAGGCCGGGTATGTTGAAAGGATCATGAGCCCTTGGAGGTTATTTTTGATTTGGATTGATATCGGTGGAGGGTTCGGCGCTCTTTGCATTGTGGCTTGCCTCCCTTCAAGCCTGACCAGAGGTGCTCCGGACCAACATTGATGATGGCCGAGAATTTGTGAACGGCTGCATCCCTAACTGGAGCTCTGATTGCGCGATCCGTTCGCCAGCGGCAGTGGAACACAAACTCTCCTGGGCCTACTACCGTATGCGTGGCATGCGGGCAGCGCTGGGTCACACGGATCAAGTGTGACTTGATATGAATGAAGTGGTCTTGCAGTGTTTTGGGGTGAGGCTGCCTAGCAGGGATTTTGGGTCAGTTTCATGTGGGTCTGATGGGACCCATATGGGTTGTGTATGCGGAATTCTCCCTCTCCACTCTCCCCACACGTGCAGTAAAACCTTTTCACCTGCAGCTCTTCCTTCGCCAGGCCAAGCAGTAAGCAGAGTAGGCAGCAGTTCAATTTCTGGACGGATTTGCGGCCACCCTTCCGTATCAAAGGGATGAAGCGAGATGCTGACGACGGACATCCGGATGGACCCTTGTTTCGGATTAGCTATTGCTGCCCTTTGGACTATGTCACCGAAAGGCGTGGACATGTGTGGGGGAGGTTGCGGATTGGCGGGGCTGTGTTGCACGTGCGAGCCGTTCCTCCAACCCAATGACTCAATGACTGTAACATAGTTTTCACCCTTCAGCAATACAATTGAGTTGCATTGTGGGAGTCCAAAGTCGCTCATGTTGCGGGACAATTGTTCAGGAACGTTGCAGCTTCATCAGTCCTAGGCATGTGTGCAACACATGTGCTTTCACTGCATACCGTCACCCATGGTCAGAATGTCACTGCCTGGTCCTGGCAGAAAGTGGGGCCGACGCACAGCTGAAGGGACCTTTGAGAACCTGGTGCATGGCGTAGCTGAAGTTCGTATCCCCAAGGAGCCAGTGACACCGTGGGAGGTTGATTTGGGGAGGTGTTGAATTTGGAAAGGATTTCATGAGGTTGAGTTGAGGTCATGTGGCATCAGGCATGCTAGGACACCACGCTTTGAACTTGAGGCCCAAATCAAGGCATCGAAAAGGTGCTTACCGCGTTTCATGGTAGCGGAGCTCTGACGGGCAGCCCCCGTCAACTCCAGCGGAGACCCTTTTGGGGGAAAACCCACCGGGGATAGACGGTCCACTGAAATCCCGAGTGGACTAGTATCCGGGTCGCGCTCATGGGGGACACAGCCGAGCCCGACGGCACTGGTGGGGCTGCGGCTGCGTCCAATGGTGGTGCCCTGGCTGGGGTGCAGGGGCTGGTCCAAGCCTTGCACGGCTTGATCGATGTCCAGAGGAGCGCGGGGTTCACGAAGCACTTGAACCCCCCTTCGGTGTTTGCCCCAGAGAACCGTGGTGACGAGCTCAACAAATGGATGGATTGGAGATTCCAGTTCGAGACCTTTATAGGGGCTGTTGACCCATCCATGCTGTCCCACATGAAGCAAGCCGACAAAGAAGAAAACTCGATCAACGATGGACTTCCCTCGGTCAGGCCCCAGTCAGAAAGATTGTACTCCCTCCTGACAGGCCTCATGAAACAGAGACCCCTTCGACTTGTGAGAGGTGTGGCCAACCAGAATGGTCTCGAGGCCTGGAGAGTGATCACCAAGGACCTTCAACCTAGGACAAGGCAGCGCTCACTTGCACTCATCCAGTCCCTGAACAAGATCCAGTTTGACGGGACGAAGACTGTGACCGAGCAGCTGCCACAGTATGACTTGATGGTCAGGGAGTATGAGCGCAGTGCAAATGTCACGTACCCGGACGACCTAAAGATTGCCTCGGTGTTGTCAGCCCTTCCGTCCACCCTCAGGCTTCATATACAGATGACGCTGCAAGATGACACCACGTTTGAGGATTTGAGGCAGCGCATTGAGATGTATGAGCAGGTGAGTCAACGATGGTCGAGTGATGGAGGCCTGCAGATGGGTGTGAAGCCTTTGATGGATCAAGGTGACCAAGGAGGACCCATGGAGATCGATGCCGTGTGGTCGAAAGGAAGCAAGAAGGGTGGCAAGAAAGGGAAGAAGGGCAAAGATAAAGGAAAAAGTTCAACGGGCAAGACTTCCTGGTCCAAAGATGGAGGCAAGAAGGGCGGCAAGAGTTCGAAGGGCTCAGGAAAGCAAGATGGCAAGAAAGGCAAAGGTGGCAATGGAGTGTGCCACAACTGTGGCAAGCCTGGGCATTTTGCTCGGGAGTGCTGGAGCCCGAAACGTGTGAACAAGGTGGAAGATCAAGAAGGGCAAGAGTTGAACAAGACCGCATCAGCTGGACAGCACGGTAAGGATCAAGGCCAGACGAGTGGGGCGTCAGCTACTCCATCCTCCCACTCTACTTACAGAGCAGGAGTCAGGAGGGTGAGATTGGTCACGCCGACCGGACTGGCTACAATGGAGATCTTCGACCTGACTCAGGACGACTCTCCTGAGGAGCTGATGGCGGAGGAGGATGATGATTTAGGCCTACAGGTGATGGCCATCCGGGAGTGCGATGAGGATCCGAATGAGATGGAAGAGATCTTCTACGAGTGCCAGAGTGGCGATGAGAGCGCGCCGACAAGGACTTCATCGATGGAGAACACAGGAAGTGATGCCCTGCGAGCCCAATCCGAAGATGTCACGGGCCAAATTCAGAATGTGTGCATGGTGAGGGACGAGACTCCCAACGTCGTGATGACGCTTGACTCGGGAGCGGATGTGTCAGTGGCACCAGAGCAGTACTACGCCCTGGGACTACCTGGTCAGCAACGTTCCGTTTGCATGATGGATGCTCAAGGAGGTGCAATCAAGAGCGCTGGAAATAGGCGACTTCGACTTCAAGCCTACACCAGAGCAGGCGAGATGGTAGAGTTCGTGGAACAGTTTGCGCTGGGTGTAGGTGTGACACACCCCTTGATGAGTTTCGGACGGTTGCTCAAGCAGGGCTGGGTGCTATCTCGAGACAGCCAAGGTCTCTATGTGGAGCACAAGGAGAAGGGTTTGATGATCCCAGCTCGGCTTGAACGGAATTCGCTGGTCATGGATGTGAGAGTTTGTGCAGTCCGAGCTGAGGACAATGAGATGCAAGAGATGGAGGCCATGGCTTCGAATGATAGAGACAGCCGTGAGAATGCCCCGAAGCTGGCAGCGGAAACCCACTTCGTGGATAGAGGAGTGAAGAGAAGTGTTGAGGAGAAAGAGGAGGACAAGAAGAATGAGGAAGAAGACCAGCAGATGCTGGCCTTGATGCAGGAACTGTCTCAACAGGTGGAGCCAGATGCCTCAGCAGATCGTGTCGAGGAAGCCCCTGCGAAGAAGCTGAAAGGTGAAGAGGTTGAGGATAGCCAGAGATCGCCGGGCTATACTACAGAAGAGTTTGGAGATGTCATTGTGGAAGCCAGCAGCAGTGAAGATGGAAGAGTGCAAGCTCGCATGGCAAGGTGGCAGAATTGGAAACTACGGACAGGCATGGTGAAGGAGGAGCCCATGGAGCTATCTGACAGCCCAGTGGCAGAGGTGACGGACGACAATCGGGTGTTTCCTGTCCGAAGAGAAGCAGCAAGTTTGTACGGGTTCATCTCGAGAGAACTCGCGTTGCTGGAAAGGATGCCTGGCTGGCACGCTCTACCCAATGGCATCGTTGTCCACTCCAGTCCACAAGCAACTCACTTTCTGGACCCCAGTCTCTCCTTTGGTCCAGAGTGGTGCGGACGGATGACATTGTTGAAGAAGAAGGACAACAGTGGAGCATGGGAGCAGGTAGAGAGCTTGGCAAACTATGTGGACACCCCGTTGCCCTATCGACCACTGCCAGGAGGACCTCGTGCAGCTTTGACATTCGTTGCACCGGGGTTGATCCGTGACTACTTCGTGATCAGCTCTGAGGTCCCAGTGAGCCAGTATCCCTTGTTGAGCGGGGAGCCATCCTCGTGGCCGGACGATGAGAGGGATGAAGAAGGAGGTGAATTGCCAATGTTGGCCGCTGGAAGTGGCGGACGACCAGAGATCGTGGAGGATGTTGCCTTTGTGGACCCTGATGAACTGAGGATCCAGATAGATGAAGCCTGGTTTGACAAGGAGACAAAGTTGAAGGATTTGCAAGAGGTTTGCAAGCAGTTGGGCTTGGCAACATCCGGTTCCAAGATCAAGGTGTTGCGGCGACTCCAAAGCTACAAGCACCACCAGGAGGAGAAGATGGCATATGAGGTCGCTCAAAGATTGTTCAGTGAGAGCAGACGAGAGGCCATCCCGCTGACAACACCAAAGCTGCCAAGCCGTCATGAGCAAGAGCTTCATCAACTCACGCACTTGCCTTTTCAGTCCTGGTGTCAGCAGTGCGTCGCTACTCGGTCGAGAGAGGATCCCAGGACAAAGGAGGATCAGACTGACCGGAAGGACCGAGGAAGACCCGTGATTAGCTTTGACTACGGGTTCACATACACCACTGGTGCTCCTGAAGATCGACAGTGGGGCACAGCTTTGTATGTGGCGGAATCAGAGTCCAAAGCCACCATGTGCATCCCAGTTCAAGCAAAGGGGAGTGCCTCGTTGAAGCAAGTGACGGAAGAGCTTACCAGATTCAGCATGCAGGTTTGCAATACACAACCCATCATTTTCCAGTCTGATGGAGAAAGAGCTACACGCCAGATCTTGAGGGCCATTCAGCATGCACGAGCTACACTTGGCCTGACCACGGAGATCAGAACAACATCCCGAGATCAGCATGCATCCAATGGCCAGGCAGAGCGGACAGTGCAATCGGTGAGAAGGTTGGCGAACACCCTACGCCAATTCGCGGAGGAAAAGACCGGAGTCAAGCTGACTGGAGATATGCATTGCTATCCGTGGAGTTTTCGACATGCTGCATGGCTGATGCTCAGGTACAGGGTGATCAATGGAGCCACGTCCTTTGAAGTGTTGACAGACAGGCGCTATGTGGGCAAGGTAGCTCTCTGGGGAGAGACAGTGCTCTTCAAGGATGTCACAGCCTTCAAGCACAAGGGTGAGCCCGTGTACAGGAAAGGAGTATGGGTCGGAAAGAGTTCCTGGAGCGACAGTCACATCTGCTTGACACGGAGTGGTGCAGTTGAGGCTCGATCTATTCGACGCCTACCCGATCAGTTTGACGGCCAAATGTTGATCAACTGCCGAGGTCTTCCATGGCAGTACTCTGTGCAAGGCATCCTGATGAAGACAAAGTTTGCAGCACGCCAACGACTGGCAGATGCGGCAGAGGATGCAGTGGGCGACGAGCAGGTGGAGAAGGAGGCCAAACTGGTCGGAGAGCAAGTGGCTGTTGGCATGTATGGTCATGGACCCATTGCAGGACCAAACACACCAGGTGTTCCTCCAGATGGATACCCGAAGACTCCAGGTAGGACGCCCACGGCACCAACTCCGGCACCAAGGACAACAGCAGCACGAACACCAACCATTGTGCCGGTTCCCGCAACACCAGCAACAGCAGCTGCACCCAAGACACCAGCAAGGCATGTACCGGCAGGTGACCAGAGCAGCAGACCGTTGGTACCTCGAGAACTCCCTCGAATCCCACTGGCAGCAGATGATGATGAGAGCCCAAAGAGAAAAGTGGTAAGGCTCCCAATTCCCGAGGCCATGAGAGGAGAGCCAGCAAGGAATTTCCCACCAGGACCTCACGAGGTGGAGACAAGTCCAAAGAGGCAGAGAATGGAAGAAGTTGTTGGAAACCTTGCACCAGTGACACCCCCACTTGGAACGAAGCGAGAGTATGCTCTGCCTTGGGACGATGAAGATGATGAGAAGCGGAGGATGAGCCCAAAGAGGAGAATCCAGAGTGTCCAAGAGGAATTTCCTGGCGGAGATGAGATGGTGGCCGAGGAGGTGTTGCAACAGCAGCTCAATAATGCCAGTGATGATGAGGACGTCGAGGTGAGCAAAGGAAAGCCTCCGGAAGTCAATGAGGAGGAGCTGATGAAGCTAGATGCGGAGGCATGCAAGCATGAAGAAGAGCGCCTTGAGAAGATGGGTGTTCTTGAGAAGCTGAAGGAAGGAGAAGTTGCTGACGAGGATTCATATGTCCTGACGTCGAAGATGGTCATCACTTGGAAGCACCGAGACGAGCAAGGTGGCTGGTTTAGAAGGGCACGCCTGGTTGGGAGACAGTTTAAATGGTCAGTTTTCACAGAGGACGCCTTCGCTCCTACATCAGCTTCAGTGGTGGTAAGAATGCTCCTTCGATTGCAGATGAGGACTGGTTTGGCCCTCTACACGTTGGACGTGAAGGATGCATTCCTGCTCATGGACCAGCCTGAGGATGAGAAGGCGATGATCGTGACCGAGAACGGTACCTACAGGCTGAAGCCTGGTCAGAGAAATGCTGCGGCCCAATGGTTCAAAGGATTCTGCAAGGTAGCAAAGGAGTTCGGACTGGTCCAGGATGTGATGCAGCCCACGATGATGAAGAAGCCTGATGGTCCAAATGAGATGAAGGAGAACGGCAAGCTCTATCTGACCATCCACGTGGATGACTTGCTGTTGATTGGGCACGAAGCTGAAGTGGAAAAGTTCATCAAGTACATGGACACTAAAGGCTGGAAAACGGAGAAACGAGGGCCATTGTACTCAGGGAGCTTCAACTACCTGAAGAGAGAGATGGAGCTGATCGACAAAGGCATCACAATCCGACCGGACAAGCAGCACATCAAGGAGCTTGCACGATTGACAAAGGTCGAACAAAGGAAATGCAGGTCTACACCCGGGGATGGCAACTTCACCAAGCTGAGCAAGGATGACGACCCTTTGGACTACAGCGAGATCGCCATCTACAGGAGTGCAGTTGGCAAGTTGCTTTACATTGCCCCTGATCGACCTGATGTGCAGTACATTGCCCAAGGCCTGGCAGCATTCATGCAAAAGCCCACGAAGAAGAGCTGGCAGGCCATGAGACATGTCAGCTCGTACCTGCTTGGTACGGTGGACGAAGGCCTTTTGTTTGAGCATGGACCCAAAGGCCGAAGCATGCTGAACACCGAGGAGAACGTCTACGAGTGGGACATCAACGATGAGGTGAAGAGCATGCTGGAAGTGGTGTGCGATGCTGACTATGCAGGGCAGAGAGACAGCAGGAAGAGTGTGAGCTCAGTCCAGATCTATTTGGATGGATGCCTCCTGGAGAGCTATGTGAGGACTCAACGATCCATTGCCTTGTCGTCAGGAGAGAGTGAGTATGTGGCAATGGTCGGAGGCTGCAGTGAGGGACTGTTCATCAAGCATTGCTGGAAGTTCCTGACCAACGAAGATCTGGAGATGGTATGCCGAAGTGACTCATCGGCAGCTCGCTCTTTGGCTGGCCGAGTTGGTGTCGGAAGGACGCGACACATCGCAGCAGGACTCCTATGGTTGCAACAGAAGGTAGGGTCCAAAGAGCTAAGAGTTACTGGAATTCCCACGGCAGTCAACACCAGCGACATCGGCGCGAAGGTCTTGAGCAAAGCAAGGATGAGTGGATTGAAATACCTCATCAAGATGATCAATGGAGACGATGAGAAGATTGGCTATGCCGAGTACCAGGAGATAAAGATGAAAGAGGACCTGAAGAAGAACACCGGCAAGCTAGCGAAGACCCTCGGAGCAAATGCAAGAGTTGCAGTGGTGATCGCATTGTCTCTACTGCAAGGGGGTCAAGGGGCAGACACTCAGGAGTATGAGACAGAAGAGAATGAAGGCACGGACACATGGTGGGTTCGGCTGCTGATCACTATGATCTGTTTGGCAAGTGTTGGGGCCTTGAGCTTGGCACGGCTGACTTTGCAGGCAGTGCAGACATGGTGCAGCAGGAGACGAGGCCATCGACAACCCGTGCAACGACGTGAAGAAGAGGAGGATGCGGATGACCCGCATGTGAGAAGAGGATTGCAGGAAAGCACCGACCAGCATGAAGAGCCACACTACGAGAATGACCTTGAGAAGGTGAACATGCAGTGGCAAATAGTTCGCCTTGAGGTAGTGGTGGCTGAGCAAGAAGAAAGATTGAAGGAGGCTCGAGAAGAGCGTGACCGACAAACGCGAGAAGTGGTGAGAATGTACGACATGTGCTCTGAGCTGCGATTTGAGCTCGAGGCGGCGAAGGAAGAGAAAGAGAAGGCCCAAAAGAGAGCCATTCAAGTGGCTGGGACTGATGATGAACGAGCACGAGAAATGGAAAGCATGGCAGAAGAAGTGGCCCGAGCATGGGAAGTTGCCGAAGTGTGGAAGAAGCGGGTCACGGAATGCCAGAGACAAGGACAAGATGAACTGAGAGATCGCCTTGAGGAAGTAAAGTTCACCCTAGATCGCAAGCTTTGGCACATCGGTAAGACTAGTTCGTGTTATCACGAACATGGGTGCGGACATCTTGTGAATAGCACGAGTGTCCGAACACTAAAACCATGTGCACATTGCATTCCTGATGCCATGGGGACCGTGTTGAATTTGGAAAGGATTTCATGAGGTTGAGTTGAGGTCATGTGGCATCAGGCATGCTAGGACACCACGCTTTGAACTTGAGGCCCAAATCAAGGCATCGAAAAGGTGCTTACCGCGTTTCAGGAGGGCCACGTGCTGAAAAGAGGGTGACCACTGCGAGTGAACTTTTGTCGAATATCCTTGTGTCTGTCGAAGGCATCCTATTTTGGCGCAAGGCAAAAGAGCACACAAGGGGTTCTCCAATGCCTAGCGGCGGCTTCTTTCGGAACCATCGTGTGTTCTGGTGGTGTTCAACATTGCTTGCCAGATGTGAGTTTTTTGCTCCCTCAGCGCTGGACCAGAAAATGTAAAATCAGAGGTTCCCACACTGTTAGCGGCTGACAGGACTTCCCGCAGGTTTCAACTCGCATCATTGTACTGAGCTGGGGGCGCGTGGAGATCAAGTTCGGCACAAAGCCGAAAGTGCCCCTTGGACAGCTTGGGCTTTGATCCCCTGGCTTGGGTGGGCATTTCGGTCGTAAGATCGCACTGCAGGAGGGTCACTTTGGAGTGAAGAATGCAATGCACTTTGCAACTTTGCAATGCATGCTTGAACTTTCCGAGTTAGCACTCGCCCAGGGACAAAAAAGCAGGGGCCGTGGACCCCAAGAAGTGGAGCCCCATCGCTGCCGAGTTCCACCTCAGGCCGTCGGGTCTGGACATCGCGTGTGGCGGGTTCTGGACATCGACTGGCAAGTCCAGAAAAGAGATGGTTTTTCAAGGAGTGTGGTTTGTCAAGATTGGAAGAATGTTCAGTTTGTTTTGCAGTTCTTGTGCAGCATTCTTTGATGTTGTGCAGCCTTCAGGCCATTTGGGCTGGGCACTCTGTGTTTCCTTCCAGCGATTGGCAGGTCCAATTGTAGCCGTTTGGCCAGCCTGCGCGAGTCCCTGCACGAGGCGAACCTCAAAATGGCTGGGCAGTCGAATCAGCAGGCGGTGAGGCCAGGCGGTTAAACACATTGGCCCAAATGGTCAGAACTGCAGTGACAAAAATGAATAGATTAGAATCCCCTCGAACAATGGATTGGAAACAGCCAGCTTTTGTTTATACATTTTGGACCCCTATAGCTTGTCTCACTTATGGGGGCACAACGAGCTTTTTGAGAAGCTGGCTTCGAAAGCAAAAGACACGGATGCAAGACCCCAGCAGCCCAGCATTCCGCAATCGGGTGGCGAGACGTTGTCGCAGGCCATGGCAAAAGGCATTGATGAAGCCTTCTGCCACGTTGGCGGACTTCATGAAGGACCGGAAGAACTGTTTGCCCATCCGGTTGACGGGGATCCACCCCTGACGTTTCGATGGGGCCGGAGCTTGGCCCTTTGTAGGCTGAGCAGCTGGAGCAGAAGGAGGTGGAGTCTGTCAAAAGAGATCTCAGGCGCTGCCGCGGCATCGGAGGGTGGCAGACTGGCAGCTGATGGCTGCAGGGCAATGGAATATCGGTATGAAGGAACAGTTGAGCCAGTTTGGACACTTAGCTCTTGGAGAGTCAAGGCCTTGCGGAATCCAACAGGCAGTGGTAGTTTCCACGAACATCCACAGAGCGCAAGTGTGACATCTCACGTCAGAAGTCATTGTCATATATTGTCATTACATTACCCTTTGGCATTTCTGTGGGAAACACGACCCGTTCTTGAAGACATCTGCCCGTGGCGTTCAGGCTACGCACTGCTGCTTGGCAGCAGTTGGCTGAAATCACTGCGCAAGACCTGGAACTCACAGGTCGTTGTCAGGCTTAAATCTGCGCAAGAAAAACTGCATGCGATAGACTCGGCCTTATCCTTTCAGGCTTGTGCGGGCTTCATTGAGAATGCGGGATGATCACTGGCAGAATGTCGAATTCCTGAACCCGGTGAGTGGCGTTTGCTTGTTTTTTCCTCCAAAGCTCCACATTCTGACCTTGAGCAATCGTCGTTCTCTTAGATTTTACTCACCTTCCGGACCGGGTTCGTGCAACGGCTCCGGCGCTGCCCTGGCCACCGCGAAGGCGGGCCTCCCACCAAAATGGTTGGGCGAACATTTGCTGCGCGGCGGGCTTGGGGCCTTGCAGCGTCCGTGATGGACGCTCCGTTTCACGGCATATAGGGCCAAGCGCAGATGCAGAAAAGAAGGAGTGTCATAGATGGGAGCGTAATGGAGCGTATGCATGCAGCTAAGCATTTTCAGGAGACTTCTTCCTTGAGTTTTTTAAAAGATTTCATGTGTTCTGCTTCAACCAATCGCATCACACCCACTGACCTTGCGGAGGTGTTGCCATCTAAAATACGAAATGTTGCTCCAACTGTGTATTGGACATCAATGCCTGGGCATGACCTAAATCAAGCCACCAGCCAGCCTGCGAGCTTCTATCCGATAGTTGCTGAGATTAGCCTAGCTGCTGCAGGGGTTCAGCAAACTAGCAAGTTTCTTGCTAGATCGTGCCATCAAGAAGTTCAAGCTGTTGACCAGATCGGGATCTGACCTGGAAGGGTATCCGCAGCTAACATATCTTGGGGCGCAGACCGCTAAACAAGAAACAAGTGCGTGAGTCGCACAGAAGTGTCCTAGAACAGTGTCGAGCAGTGTCCAGCAAGATTGTCATACTGTCTGAGATGATGAAATTGCCTTCTTTCGGTTCTAGAGCTGCACTGCAGGTTGATTCATAGAAGGCTACGATTGGCTTTTGTACTTTTATGCGCCTTCCATTACATTGGGTGTCTGAGCCTACACCTCGTGGTGGCGTGCATGCCAGAGTCATCAGACGTAAGCGCAAAGAAGCTTGTTTGCGCCTATGCCATGTAAACGCAGGTCCATGTTTGTGTGGATTGTGTGCGCGCGAAAACAACCAAACATTACAGATGGTTTGACATAGTCGTTCTGCTTTGGTGGCAACCACCGTGTGGCATCCTGCAGCATTGGCTTGCTTGGCAGTCATATCAGACCGGGAATTTGCAGTCGAACTGAATCCTTCTTGTAAGATTCAAACAAACGTGTTTTTGGATGTGTTTGGAGGATGAGCCATTGACAGGAAAACCAACAAACAACAATTCAAAGCACCCACCACAGTCAACCAAACAAACGTCCGTGTTGAGAGATTTTTCCCTGCCATGCCGGTCATCCGTAGTGACTATTGAAATGGCTTGGTGGTGCAAAAGTGGTTCTGTGAAATGAGGCTGTCAGCAAAGGTGCAGGGTGCAGCACGGAAAACTGCGGCGAAATCGATCCTTGTCACCAATCAACGAACTCTACTTGGGGCCCTCCGTTGGCGAATTGTCGACGCGATCCTTGTTCTGGTTGTGCAACCGCAATGAATGTGGAGTGTCTGAAAGCCGAGGCGAGCGTCGCTGGCGCCGGTGCCACCTGACATTGTTGTAGGATGCCGGGTGTTGGTGAAGGCAGTGGAGGGAGAAGATCCGCTGCCAGGCCAGACAGCAGCACCCATTTTCCCCCAGTCAGCGACATTCCTGCTGCTCAGGTCTTGTGCTTTTTATCGGAGAGACCCAGTTTGCAGCGGGCACATGGTTGGGCGTTGAGCTGGACGATCCCAAAGGAAAGAATGATGGAACAGTGCCCCCCAAAGCGTTGGGTGTTGTGCCCTGCTCTCCGTGTACGAAACAGAGTGATCAGTGATCAGTTTAAACACTGGTGCGCCATTTGACACTCTCTTTGATTTGTGAAGGTACAAGGTGTCAGCTACTTCAACGCCCGGGTGAACCATGGTCTTTTTGTGCGCGCTGTGAAGGTGCAGAAGATCGAGGACGGACAAACTAAACACATCTTTGCAACTAGACCTGGACATGCCTCAACGCCTCGCCATGTGTAAGCCTTTTGTCAGGACAAGGAGGCCACCGGCCGGCCAACGTTGCCGGCCCCTTCTTCGCCCGTGGCTTCACAGCACATTTATTTGTTAAGTCGAGGTGCAGAACCTTCATAGTTTTAAGGCCTAAGGCCCTAAAGAAACAAGATCACATTATTCGTTCGTTTGCTTTGATACCTGATACCTGCTTTCTTGGGGCCCTGGACCCTAAGTTGCGCATGCGATACTTGTCTTCTAAGGCCCAAAAGATGCCCAAAGCGTTTGCTGTCGGTGATCGGGTGCTGGTGAGGCCGGCTTTTGTTGGTCGAACCGCTCCGTTCCGCGGTTGGTCGAACGTGTCCTCACGGTGCTTTGATCGGAGCAGGCCTGCGGAGAACAGCCCGGGCACGGTGCGGTTTGCGGGGCAGACGAAGTTTGCCGAGGGCGAATGGTTTGGCGTGGAGTTGGAGAAGCCCTTGGGAAAGAACGACGCGAAGCTTCAATGAGGGCCTGCAGAGTTGCAGGTCAATGTAGGAACATTTCTTAAGTTCTTCGAGGTGTGCAATGCTTGCAAAACATAGCTTGGCAATGCTTGGCATGTATCTCTGTATCTCTTTTTTCTCTTTGTCTAGGTGTCTCTTGAGTATGAATTCGCCCCGGGTGGCACCAGGCGGCGAACGAACCAAATTTGCAGCAACTCTCACAGTGAAGGCCTCATGGTATAGAAGTGTCCATGGGACACGGCTCGCACACACCAAGTTGAGAGGAGTGTTGTTCTATATTGATAAGGAGCACGAAGGACGAATAAGTAGTGGTCCCACTGGTGTGAAGACCACACGTCCACAACATGCCAACCAAGAACATCTTTGGTCTCTCAAATCTTCACTTGACATCGCTGCAGCGAAATGTGACAAGAATCCCTTGCGGCCAGACGGCGTGCACGGGTGAGGCGTTCGCTTGTGACGCCGAAAATTCCCTCGCTTATGACGTCGCTTGTGATGCCGATTTGCCCGTAGCACACCCCAGCCCACCACATCCATGATGCTGGTGATGCTTTGTGCGTAGGCGTTTTGCATGCTGCCCATTGCTAGTGTACTCACGCACAGCACTCGAACTGAGCAACCCTTCACGCCTGCACAGTATGGCCACTTTGCGCAAAGCAGTGTTGAGTGCGTTCCTGGGCAGGTTGGGATAGGCACTGGCGTAAGCACCATTCAAACAACATCGTTCGCGCAGGTGCCTTTTGACATTGCGTAGACCCGCCGTAGCTCCTGCGTCGCCGCCCCACCCATGATGCTGGTGTGATGACGTGGCCATGGGCAAATCATTGCAATAGCCCACCCCAACCCACCCCCCTGTGATTTGTAGGGCTCTAGGTCCCCCTAGACGTGTCTACGCAATACGTGTGTAGCACCCTTTACATGTATCACGAAAGCCAGCCGATAGGCTAAGCTGAAGTTGGGTTGTGCGAACGAAGTGAGTAAAGGGGGTGTGGGGGAAAAAATGGTAAAAGGTTGGTTCTAGGACAGTCTCGTCGTATGTTCGCCTTATAGGATTTTATGTTGAAGTTCAACGTATGGACTTTGCCTTTGATGTTTTTCCTGAGGATGGTTGTGAGACATTTTCTAATTTTGTTCATCAATATCTTTTTATTCAATGAGGCTACTTTTTGTTTCGCGTGTTATGTTTTTTCTCGGGGTTGGGGTTTATAGGTTGTAGTTTTGCTGTGGTTATAGGCTGTAAAAAATTATGATGTATAGTCTATAGTTATGTTGTACTTTTACGCCTTCCACGTTCCTATTCCATCCCACCAGTGTTCTATTACCCTTAGTTGTGTAGTGATATATAAGTTTATCCGCATTGTCCCGTTCAACATCAGCACTGTCTAGTTCAACCATCGCGAATGATAGTAAAGCTAAGTTTATAATCATAGCGTCTCTTTTTCCTTCACTGTTGAGTTTCTTTCTACATTCAGTTATAACCTTTTTGTCAGTTATGTTTTCATACATTCTATTTTTATAGTTTCAAAACCCACATAAGCAAAGATTACAATAGCATCTACTTTTCCAACATCTTTCATTCTATGATTTGTTTTAAGCCAGAAGGGATTATCACCCTCATAATCTATTGAAGGCAACTGATGACACTTTACAAAGTCTCTAATCTCTTCGTCTTCTTTTTCTATTTGTTCTCTCTCCCAGTCTTCATTCTCACTTTCACTTCCGACTTCAACATACAATCCTAAATTTTCTGATACTTCACTCATATAATAAATTTTAGCGCTTGTCATTTTCTCTTAATATATATAGGTATTCTTTCTTTAAGTGTTTATCACTTTTTGTAGGTGCTCTTCTATTTCTGTTTCGTTGATGTAGTGCTCGTAGTATCTAAAAAGTTCTTTGAGGTATTCGCGCAAGATGATTTCCAAGATGTCCTTTACTATGAATGCTCGGTTTCTAAAAACATAAGTCCCTTCAAGGTTAGGAAACCACCAAATTCGTATCTTTCTCATATACGCCATAATATCAAGCTCGTGAAAGGAATAGAGGATGTGATAGGTATATTTCCAGTTCTTCTTTACATACGATTTGATTGCCTGTAGAAACATCTTATCGTGTTGAAACCTTTCCTTCAGTGCCATTGTGCCCATCAACACGTCTATTTCCCTTCTCATCGCTCTAACATGTGTTTGGTTAGTGTCGCTTAAATAGATGGGTGTCGGCATCTCTGTTTGGAAGAAACCTCTTTGCTTTTCCACGGTTGTATGTCTACCGTGGGTGTATTTGTTGTATCCGTTTTCCTTGAAGAGTAAGTTATTACATTTGAAACAGTGGGTGTTGTAATCACATATCATATCGCAAATACCGGCGGGGAACATGTAGTTTAATAGAACCTTCACGTTGAAACTTTATTTCTACAATATCTACAGTTTCCATAAGTAAAAATCATCTCTCAACATATATAGGTAATTTTTCTTTAAGTAGTTTTTGGTGGCTGGTTCATTTTTGGTGTTCTGGTTGGTATTCTACTTTTTGAAGAAATATATTAAAATCTAATAGTATAATATGGCACGAAGATTAACAAAAGAACAGATAATGAGCAATGCCTATTATGATTTGGAAAAAGGTTTCGGGTCTATCCAAGACACCCCAAAAACAAGCAAAAGACAAAGACCCGTCCATAACAAGAGTGGATGTAGAAACCTTCATGAAGAAACAACCCAACAAACAGATTAGAGGCTCAAACTCATATACCACCCCGTTCTCAAGGCTTGAATATCAAATTGATATAATGGATATTGTTCCGCTGACCAGAGAACCATAAGTGAAAATTCCAAGAAAGAACACTGAACCAAGAAATGCGTTAGTTGTCATAGACATCTTTAGTAAGTTGGC